AAAATGAACAAAATGAAAAATTATGATTGGTTGAATGCGGTTTGCACCGTTTGTACAAATTGAGTGGTTTGCATTTGATCGCTCCCCTATATATATATATATAATATATATATATATATATATAATATATATATATATATATATATATAGAGAGAGAGAGAGAGAGAGATGGATGGATGGATGGATAGAGTGAGAGAGAGAATGCATATATAGAATTTTAATCATTCACAAATCATATAAACCAATATCGAATGTTCATTTACAATGAATATATTCTTTAATAAATATCTCAATAACAATAAATGTGAATCATATCATTTTTAATAAATATCTCAATTGTCTGTTTTCTTCTCTCTTTTTATAGACTCGAATATCCAACCCGCTATGTGAAATGACTAATCTCAGAACGACCACTTGCTTTGCGGGTAATCCGAAGTCACCACATTTGAACCTCCGTGATCACAAGGGGATTTTTGTTCCTCATTGGATTTGAAACTGAGACCTCCATACACTTTTAACCTTTGGAGTCCAAGCTCAAACCAATCAAATACCACCTTTGTGGTTAATTATTTGTTTTCTATTAATTATAAGGTTTCTAAATGATTGACCTTCACACACAGACACACATACATCTAAAAATATAAGAAGGTTGAGCTGTATCTAAATATCTGTAACTCAAATACTGTTGAACAATGACCTTGTGATACCTTCAAAACCTTACAAGCTTGTCTATTTGCTATTTCTTATCTTTGAACACTGTATATCCATGAAAGATAAACCTACCAGTAAATGACGACGTCATGTGAAAAGATGTAAAACAATAAACCTCTCAAATGAGATATATGTACGTATGTATCATGTATGATGAGATGTCTGATGGAAAAAAAAACGTAAGCCCATATATAGAAGTATAGACCAAATGTCGTTATTGCAGAGCAGTTGGGCATTTGCCAAATTTAGTAAGGGACAATAGTTTGGTCTTGTATCGTATTTCATGTTTGTCTAAATTTAGAGCCTCTTGCGTGTCTATTTCTTGTTTAACCAACTTAATGGGTTCAGTGCCTTATTTGTTTAGTTATTAACCAAAAGTCTCGATTTATGAAGCAATGTTTGGAAACAGTGGAATTGTACAAATCGTTTGTATCTATGGTCTGTAATAAGTTGTCTTATTTTAAACAAGTCTTAATAAGGAGAATAAAAGATGATACTTGTTATGTGATCTGAACACGTAATTCATTCTGTGCAAACACCATGTGGATCCTAGAAATGCGTTGTGTAGACAACCGATACAATGTGCTTCAGTCAGTATATTTTTATATTATACAAAACCAATGTTGTACTGTATAGAAATTTCATGGTACATTTAATAATTCATGATAAATTTAAGGGAATTGAGAATATTCTGTAATGGGAAAAGTCTAAAAAAACCCAATAAGGTTTGAAATCCTTAGTGAGTGCTCGGGATTTTACAGGATTGTATGCAATAAGGTTTTAAAAAATGTTATGTAATAATCGATTAATAAAAATTTAATTCAATTATTTTTATTTTTTTCTACAAATTATTTATAATTAATGAAATCTAATTCCATTCCAAATCCTACAAACCAAACACATCAATGATTCCAATTTCATTCCAATCTAAATCCCTCCATGAAATCCAAATCCCCCCAAAAACAATCCTGCAAACCAAACGGACTAAAAATCCAGAAATCAGATTTTTGATTACAAAACTGATAATTAGTCAATGATAATTGATATTTTGACTAACTTCTAGAATCTAAAAAATATAAATATATCCAAAAGTAATTCTAAAGTCCCACAAAAATTGATGCTTGCAAGCATAGTTTTCCATTTTTCTCTACATTATTAGTTTTTTATTTTAATTTTTCTCAAACTAATTGTTGTTTATTTTTTACTAGATTTCAATCTTAATTAATTATTCTTCATTTACCGTTATTAAAAATATAGAATGATACTCGTACAATGCAACGAGATACATTTTCATTTTAGTGTTTTGTTTTATTTTTTGTCTCTCTTGATATAATACAGTTTATGTGATTTTGAGAAAGATATTGTTTTGCCTTTTGAATAAATTTTTTTTTTTAAAGATATCATAAAATTTGAAAAAATATATCGATATTAATATCAAATTAACTATTTAAAAGTTTACATTTTTTTTGTACAATTTCTTTAATTCAACTTTTTAATATAATTTAATTTATGTCTAATAGTAAAGTATTTTATTTTTGACTTAGCAATATAAATTTTATAAAGATAATAATTATTCTAATTATGTTTTAGACTTATTATATTTAAAATTAGATGTTTATCCTATATGTGATTATATTTATCTGCAGTTAGTTATACAAATTCAAAAATGAAGTTTTAATAAGTTGTACTTATGCACAATTTACTTGTAATCTTAAATTTTAAGTAATATGCATTAATAAACATTATTTCTTGCATAAAAAATGGATTTTAGAAGTTTTTGTCAAAATCTTTATGATATAGTATAGATAAGTAAAATCTTTATCAATGAAAACATGTATAATAAATATGATTTCAAATTTTAAATAATAAATTTTATACAAGATTATTGTATTATTTAAATTTAAATTTTGTATAAATAAAATCCCTATTTCAGATAACGAAAATCTGTATCCCACTCAGCCACAACCGAGAATGGAGATAGGGTCGAGAACTGTACTAAAAGCCCACAAAATCCACCTTCGTTTCAAAATCGACATACACACACAAAACACGCTACATACATATATACAAACACAATTTCCTTCTTAAGTGTCGAAATACTTACGCGATCAGATGTCTTTTGGTACGAAGTCGGTAACCACTCAACCTCTATCCACATCAACGACCAAAAGGGACATCAATAATACTTGGTTTTCATTCTTCCACTTGATTTGAGTTTTTAACGCATCTCTGACACACATATATTTTGTATGTTTTTAGTGGTCAAATATGACTCGTTTTTTCGCTTTAGAGGCAACAAAAGTAAAAAGCTATTATCTTCTCGTACTTTTAGGTAAGCAAAAAGATATATGTTTCATCAAAAGCTACTTTTAAATATTTGTAGTGTCCCACTAAGCAGATATTCACATATGTATATTTATGGTAGAACAAATTGCATGAAAAAGTAGCGTACTTTAATTTGATTCATATTTTTGGTAACGTACTTTCAAAACTTCCATTTTGGTAGCTAAGGTGTAAAGTTTCAAATATTTAAGTACCCAGGTAACTGGTTGAAACATTAACCGGTTTCCATGCTGATGTAGCGCGTGATGTGACTTGAACCATTTTGGCTTATAAGAATTTTGAACGGTATCGTTTCAAACTTGATTAAAAAGGGTTTGCTTTCGGTTCCAAGCCAATTATTCTGATTCCAATCCAGTTTATTTTGATCCTGATTTGGTTTTCGGCTCATCGTATATAACAGGAATATAGTCGGATTCTTAAGTCAACGAATTTGGCAAGGGTCCTACTAAAATGCAAGTGTTTGTTTTGTCTTCTTTGTTTTGTAATCTAAAACAGAAATTGATCAACACGCAATCATATTTTTAATAATAACATTAACTTCTTATTTACAAAAAAAGGTAAATTGCATGAAAGTAATGTATTTTAACTTGATTTCCATTTGGGTAACGTATTTTCAAAACTTACATCTTGGTTCCTAAGATGTAAAATTTTAAACACTTAAGTACCGGAGTAACCGGTTGAAAACTAATTTTAGATTAAAAAAAAGAGAGACTAATCTTAGATTAGAAAAAAACCCATGTTACTAATCACATCAGCAAATAATATTGAGTTTGATACCACATCATTCGCCACATTAGCATGATAACCGGTTAATACTTCAACTGGTTACCTGAGTACTTAAATATTTAAAACTTTATATTTAGGTACCAAAATGAAAGTTTTGGAAGTACGCTACCCAAAGTAGGAATTAAGTTTTAAAAATACGTTATTTTTTATGCAATTATACCCGATCCTGATTTGGTTTTCGACTCATCAAGGAATTTGGCAAGGATCCTACTAAAATACAAGTGTTTGTTTGTCTTCTTT